GACATTTAACAGATTCAAACATTTATTGATTGATTTAAAAAAAGCCGTTACATCATCAATAATAACAAGAATAATGAGTAACGCTCTAAATATGTGGTATGAAACATATTGGATGTATGAACTGGACCGTACTGATGTTCAGGTTCCATCCCAGATTCTACATGTGAATTATAAATCTAGATTAAATGAGATGAATGAAACTTGAACAGTGTTTGTACGCCATGATTCACTCATCAGGCTGAACAGTTCAGTCCATTCATTGATGAGATGATCCACAGAAAATGAAGGGACAATCATTTTGATCATGGACTCATTATTTCAGTCTCTTGAATCCAAAAGGTCCAAAATGTTTTTTCCAGTTTGTCAAATATGACAATTAGCTGCTTTGATCAGTTTGATATGATTGTAAATGAAACAGCGTTCAGTGTTATTCTGGAGCTGTTTGAAAAGTTCACCTTATTCTTTGTTGACGTTTCAAAAGAAGTGGTTGGTTCATGAATCAATCCAATAATGTGATCATGAATCTTTATTCTGAGTTCTTCATAAAAAGTCCAAGTACACATTAGATGAGATGATCTCCACTGTTCTGACCTCAGTGTTGGCTCGTCCTCTCAGGCAGCATCAAACAAACATCTGCAGCTGGAAACAGCTGTTGTTAGTGTTGAATGATTGACAGATGGATGAACCAATCAGGACGCACAGACTGTCTCCCAGTCTCCATACTGGTCCTGGTGGTCTCTGCCTTATTGTGAGCAGCTGTAGTAACACACTGCTGAACTCTGTGAGGGCCGAGCAGGAGGAGTCTACAGACTGATCCTGGACTGAGACTCTCCTTCAGAGGAAACTTGGAGAACAGCTCGGGACAGTCGAGTGTGTGGTTTCTCACAGGACGAGCGAAATGTTGGACTGATCCACAGAGAGTCCACGTTCAGTCCAGGACCAGTTTAATCTGAGTCTGCTAGTCAGGACTACAACTCAGAGAGAGAGAGAGACTCAGTGTGTCTCTGATGTAATAATAAAGGATTTAAACTATACCTCTCTCTCTTTCTCTCTCTCTCTCTCTCTCCCTCTCTTTCTCTCTCTCTCTCCCTCTTTCTCTCTCTCTTCTCTCTCTCCCCTCTTTCTCTCTCTCCCCTCTCTCTTCTCTCTCTCTCTGTCTCCTCTGTCTCTCTCTCTCGTTTCCTCTCTCTCTTCCTCTCTCTCTCTCTGTCTCTCTCCTCTCTCTCTCTCTCTCTCTCTCTGTTCATGTTTACCAGAGATGTACCTTGAGTGAGTGATGATGAGCTGGAGATGTTAATGGTTAGACAGATTGGTTATGATGGAGAAGACTTCGTAGTTCTGGACATGAAGACAATGACGTATATCGCTCCACAACAACAGGCTGTCGTCACCAAACAGAAGTGGGATAAAGACAAAGCTCGACTAGAGTATCTTAAGAACTACCTCACCAATGAGTGTCTTGACTGGCTGAAGAAGTATGTGAACTATGGGAGGAGCTCTCTGATGAGAACAGGTAGGATCAAATGACCTGATGGAGTTGAACTCTGACAATGTTCATCATCTTCTTTTCTTGTTTATCTTGTAATTGAACAATAAATATTTCACACATGTTTCTATCACACATGCTCTGTCTTCATCTTTAAGCTTCCCCTTACCTTTCCCTTCATGTTAGATCTCTTTCTCTCTGCTGCTCATCGCTCTCTCTCAAAGTTTCTCTGTGTTTTTATTGTACTTTCTCTCTCTCCTCTTCTTCTTCATCAATCCATCTGAACCCCCCTCACCTCTCTTCTTCTGTTTCTTCCCCTCTGACCCTCTCTTCTTTGAATTATACTTTAATAAGGTTGATTTTCATTGTTGACTCACTGGATTTTAAAGTCCCTTTTTTTCCCAGTACATTTAAAAAGTGTCATCAAACATGAGTTGTAACAGTATTTAAGAGTAAATCCTGATAAAGAAACTCTAATCTGTCTTCCTGTTTGTCCTCCAGACCTCCCCACAGTGTCTCTCCTCCAGAAGACTCCCTCCTCTCGGGTCACCTGCCACGCTACAGGTTTCTACCCCAACAGAGCCATGATGTTCTGGAGGAAAGATGGAGAGGAGCTTCACGAGGACGTGGACAAGGGAGAGATCCTCCCCAACCACGACGGCTCCTTCCAGATCAGCGCTGACCTTCAACTGCCCTCTGATGACTGGGGGAAGTACGACTGTGTGTTTCAGCTCTCTGGTGTGAAGGAGGACATTGTCACCAAACTGGACAAACGAGAGATCAAGACCAACTACGGTAAGACCTCGATGAGAAGTGATGAAAGAGAGGATTTGACTGTAACAGTTTTAAATGGATTAATGAGAGAGAGAGAGAGAGAGAGAGAGAGAGAGAGAGAGAGAGAGCTGCAGGGCTGGAATAGTGCAGATTTACTTCAACTCTCCAGTCCACATGTTTATTAAAGTATTCAAATGAAAGCACTCATCATTGTGTCAACATGTGTCTGATGAACAACTGAAAGAGATTTGAAAAAGACACAAAAAGGACAAAAGATTAAAACATAATCATAAAGCTGTGCAGAAAAGGTCCAAAGTGGAGCATAAATAATGATCAGAATGCAGGAAAAGAAATGTCTGATGCTAACATTTTTCTGAGGGGAGACCCCAAGATGCAGTTTTCATTAAAAGTTGGAAAAAAAAAAAAAAAAGAATCATGTGAGAGAATCGTGATCTCAGATCTCAGGGAGAAAAATCATGATTCACATGTTAGCATCTCTTTTTCATTTACAGCCACATCATTTCATTTCAGTTTCTCTTTAGATTTTATTTTTTAGTGTTTTCAGTTTTTAAATCATCAAGAAAACGATTGAATCAAACCAGTTAGAGTGCTGTTGTTGAAGAAAAGTCAAACATGTTTATTTTGAGAGATTAAAGGCACTGTGTTGACTTCTCAAAGTTAAAGTTTTAAAGGATGAATGTGTGACATGTTACACATAAATATATCAGAAATCCAGTCTATCCTGTGTGAATGTCTCTGAGTGTGAGGAGGCGTGGCCAAACAGCAGTTTGTTTTGGTTTGCTCAAGGGGCGACATCTACTGGATCAAAAAGTCACTCATTCTTCCTTTAGTTGAAGAGAAGATCAAGTTGATGAATTACTGGATGTATAAATATATCTGTCAGTAAATCATTCACGGTGAGTTTTCTTTTCTCGTTCAGTCAATGAGTTTGAATCCGTTTTGTCAAAATCTCTCAGAGCGAAACATCAACATATAAAGAAATCAGCATTCAGATAAAGGACGACAAACACGACTGGAAGATGAATCAAACATAGATACAGGATTTATTTACAGACAAGTGGAGATTCAAATGAAGAGCAGCAGGACAAACAGTGTTTATTTACAGGATGATGATTGTCTGCTTGGCACATGTTTCCTCCTCTAACCTGCTTCATCTGCACAGGTTGTAACTGTGGTTTGTTGATTTGTGCTCAACAGTGAATCCCATGAACACCGTCATCCCCATCATCGCATCATCGCTGCACTCGTTCTTCTCGGCCTCGCTGTCATTGGATACAAGAAATACAGAGGCAGAAGGAGGGGGCTGGTGTAGACGGAGCACTGAGGAAATGCTACTTTCAAAACTCTGCCTTAAAGCTGGAAAACGTTACCTGCTGTTTGAATTTAGCCCTGCTTTTATTTTGAAATACAGTAAGGAGCTTCCTGTAGATGGAAGGTTAGGACATGAACTAAAACACAGAAACAGGAAGTGGTTATGGATCCCAAAGTGAGGTCAAACAGCTCAAAGGAACGGTGACAAAGGTCAATGTGTGATGTCATCAGGTCAATGTGTGATGTCATCAGGTCAGTGTGTGATGTCATCAGGTGGATATTACTGTCTGAGAGTTTTGTTAAAGTGAAATGAGACATTCAAAGATGCAGCAGTGTTCTTCTACATCAGTGAGACTACAGGGAGACACTGAGGACCACTATCTACGGAGAGCCTGAAGGGACAAAATAAGATGAGATTAATCGTGATGAACTCGTTAATGCTGACAGCTCTAATTATTGTTTTATTTTGATCAGAGATCCTAAACTGTTTGTGGGAGGCGTCTCAGCTATCCAGTTGAAATCTTGTATATAATTCCTGCTCGTGTTCAGGAACGAGGGATGTTTTCTCTCTGAGTTTTGTGAATGGAAGTGGAAGATGAATTCTCAGAATCACTTCCTGTGTTGGGTTAAGTTAACTAGTGGTGTGAGCTGCTGTTTCATACCTTTGTACTGTAAATGATCTGTTCAATAAAGTCCCTCACACTCCAAATGTCTGTGTGTTTCTTCACTTCAACATTCATGGAAACACTTACACAGCTGTAGCTACCATTGTGGGAACATTTAGTTTGATTCCAATAAACTTTATGATCTTTACTTTGTTGATCTTATAGACGGATTATTCACATGTTCTGAAACGTCTGAACAAAGATATTTAAATTAGCCGCTCAGTTCAGTAACATCTACATTGTGATGATATAAAAAATTTGTTGGAGCCAGTTTGATGTGTGCTATAGTGTGTGCTGAGTTTGGTTATTATTGCTGCTGCTGCTACGTCACCTTTGCACCTGGGCATCATGGGTAATCAGCCACACGCAGCTAGAAAGGGGAGTGACAGGTGAACAGGTGCAGAGAATCAGGATTCAGGTGTGTGTTTGTTTCTAACCCTGTGTGGTTGTGTGAACATGTTTGAGGTTCCTGTCATGTTTGGTGTTTTGATTGTTTCCATCCTCACCAGCTTGTTTCAATCCGTGCATTTCTCCGACTTTTGTAGACGATTTAAAGACGACTGATTAATAATTCAGAGTTTGTGGAGGCGACATTCGATCAAAGAAGTCGTAAAAAGGATCACTAAAAGTAATGAGTGTGAGTGAATGTCTTTAAAATGCTGAACCAGTGAACCTCCAGCTGGTGTGAACATTCAAACACATGGATCCAAGAACCATTTAACCCTTTATTGGCTACGAGCAAAGGTGGATGGATGGACGGATGATCACTGTTCAATAAATAAAGAGAAATCATTACGCTGCCACATGAACTTCAGGATAAATGGTAAATGGACTTGAGCTTGTATATTTCTTTTCTAGTCTTCTGACGACTCAAAGGCTTTACAACACGTGTCACACTACACATTCACACACTGATGGTAAGAGGCTGCTGAGTAAAGAGTCCATCACAAGTAAGTGATCACATTCACACACCAGGTCCTTACACACTTATGTTCATACATTTGAAAAGAAACCTTAAAAGATTCAACAGAGAAGTGAAACTGTCGTCTAGAAAGCGTCTCTCTGCAGCTCTCTCACCTTTCCTACGATGCTGCCCACGGTGATGATGGATCCTTTGGGTGCTCCACAGGCCACCAGAGCCTGAGCCACAGCCTGAGTGATCAAGAAGGAGCCCTGGAAGAGACGCAGGAGCAGGAGTGAGTTCATCTCTTCACAGTAAATCAGCACCAGAGAAAAGAGTGTTTGAAATAATAACAAAAATCATTCAGCTCTGTGGACAAAACACAACAATCCTAAACGTTCTTCAGCCTCAATAAAGACATTTTCACTCATGCACTACTGAAAGTCTTCATTATTTTCAGGCAGTCAGAGGTGGTGGACAGAGCAACAGAGTCCAACTCTATGATGACAGTTTTTTTGTACATACTGGAGGACAGAAAACTTAAGGCAGCGGTTTAATAACGTGCACAGAGATCACACATATCGCGGTCATACAGTCTCTGGTTGTGCACGGGTCCTGAGGTAGAAACGTTACCACCCCCTCTTGCTCCCTCACAGTGAATTTACCTGAATACTTCCTGCTGCGTTCTCACATCAGCTAACCCGACTTCATGCAGAAAAATGATCAGGGGCTGCCGGCTAAAGAATTCCAGATAAAGTCGGAGTAGAAATGTGTCTGTTTGCGTTCACTCGTGCAGTTTTTTAGAAGTTTTGTGAGAGAATCATTTTATGAATTCTTTTCTTCAAGTGCAACAACGAGAAACTTGAATCTTCGGTTGTTTCCTGTTGAAGACAACAGAGACTGATTTCTTTCTTTCTGATTCTTCTCACAAAGTCGACCCACGTTATGTCTCAACAGCAGTGATGGAAGAAGAGTGCTTTAAGAAGTGCTGCAATTTGAGCACAAATGAACCGGCATCGAGGGCCAACATCTAAAAATATGAATCATTTGTAACTTGTAATTCTGGTGCGACTAGTGAGGGTGATGACTTCCAACCTTTAAGTGGACTAACGGGCACATCCCTAGTTATTAGATGTGATGTCATCCTCTGACGTTAACCTGATAGACTCGATTACACGCTGAACTTGCTTCATACCTTCAGGTTGACCTGGATGACTCTGTCAAAGTGATCCTCCTCCATGTTGAGCAGGAAGTGGTCCTGCGTGATGCCTGCTGCGTTCACACACACTGAGGGAGGCTGGAAGTAATGAGTGTGTAGAGGAACAGAACATAACTTACAAGGAGAGAAAACAACAAACGTGGAATAGCCCTCCAGCATGAAAACACACAGAGAGAAAAGTACTTTTTCTACAGAAAGGTTGCTGATTATGATGGAAATGTAAACACATGTTGTGTTGGCTTGTCTTCCTGTCTGTATCACACCTGTATTCTGGTGACCAGCTTCTTCACGCTCTCTTTTGATGACACATCCACCACAGCCGCCATGTGACCTGTCCTCTGAGGTCATTCTGCAGACCCACCATGGTCTCGTTGGCAGACTCCTCGCTGATGTCTGCCACCACCACGGAGGCGCCCTCAGAGGCCAAACGCTGACATACCGCCCGTCCGATCCACTGCCTCCTCCTGGGAGGGAAAAGAGTAGCATGAAGTTACCAGAGTGACAGAATGTTTTAAACACAACGCTGCAGAGGAAAGACTGAGTGTGACAGAAGATCCACTCTGGAAGTATCTGAAAAAACAAATATCAATCAAGGACGACAAGAAAACACACAGGACAGGAAGCTGACTTGATGTGATTGATTTTCAGTTTGATTAGCCCAACAGTTCAGGGCTACATGACAATTGTTATTCACAAATCATCTGCGCCCAATCACATTTCTTTCTTTCTTCTGTCTTCAAAAACCTTGAGTCCACTTTTCTATGTGAAAATGTAAGAGGACAAGTGATGCTTCATCATTCATAATACAGCTTTAATGTTTATTCCATCAGTCAAAGAAGACAATTAATAAGCCACAATTCTCATAATACATGTATCCTTTCAGTCACTCACTGTATCCACACTGTATTGCATTTTTTACAGTTTTGAACCTTAAGTCGGACAAAACCAGACATTTAAAGATTTAAACTCTGAGGCATTTAAACATGTTTCCTTTTTCAGTATTTTCCAATTCAACGGCAGATCATTTCATTCTGAATGGTTGCAGGTCTTATTGATAGCATACACACAGCCAGAATGACAGCTACACTTTCACCTTCACTCTCATTTCAAGTCATCAAACTTAATTCAGTCCGATCTGCTCGAGGTACTGATTTAGAAATCACTGATAGAATCACGGTTACACTAAAATAATGAATTCATTGTCAGCTTACTTTGGAGATCAAACTTTTTGATATCAGAAGCTACTTGCAGTAGGTAGCTGCTTTGATTTGGTGAATTGAAGAAGATTGCAGAAAAACACACGGCTTTGAACGCAACATCTTGAAAAGGGAAAAGGGCATGTCCTTAAACGTCTCACTTCACACAACACATGTATCTTACAACATATATTTACCAGTGACCAGCGTCAACCTTGATATCAGCCGTGTGGCAGCCGTCATACTCCCATCATGTTTCCCCCCTTATGTTGTTGTAGCTTTCGGGTTGTCCACTAGATGGCGCCCAGTGATGAAAAATGTTACGTGTTCCGGTTCCGGTTGATGACGAGCCAGCAGAGTTTAACTAAAAGCTAAGGAGGCGAGGAGGGAATCATCTATTACAATGCTTTGTCATTTTATTCATCAAACTGACCATAGATTACAGTCACAGTATGAACAGGATGGAATATCCTCCGTTTTAATACAAGGTTTATTTTGAAAGGTTTAACGGAAGTATCTCTTCGCTACGTGTATCTAACTTGACTCTGCGGGTGTAGTTCTTCATTGAGGCCACTAGATGGCGCACGATACTGAATACGCCAATGTTAGAACAAGAAACATTTCAAAACAGCTACACGGACAGAATACATGATGTTGATTCAAATGAACATTAAATACATTTTTATCTTGGACAACAGATATTTTATAACTTAATTGGCCATAGATTAAAGCGTTGTGTTGTTCACTCCGTCAAAATTACCTTCATAAAGTGCAGCTAGCGTTAACAAGAGGGAGCTGTAAGGCGATGTGATAATGTTCCTTTACAAACTTTCACTGTTTGATAGAAGAAAAAGATTAAGTCTTTTGTTATAATTCGGTAAAGTAATTATTAATCAGCATGAACAACGGCTTCCTAGTTTGGTGAATTGTTCAGGAGGACACAAACTTTTGTGAGCTTTGCATAGATGTTTAGAATTAGCGGCAGAAACTTTGTTGATCAAGAGGGAGATAAATGCCTCAACCTCCATTAATTTGAGGTAAAAGTATGAAATGATGTATTCCTCTTCCTCGATAGTCTTGTTCTTGTTTCTAGCTTGAGGAGGTTATTCTTAACAGAGTTGATAAAAGTAAACGTGAGTACACACTGCCCCCTGTGGTCAAAGTGCAAAACTTTTATTTTGATAGTGATAGTCGGAAGTTGTTCTTTGTATAAACATCTACCTTGACAGATTGATGACGCAGTAAATCATTGTGTCATACATAGCGTAATTATAATATAAATAAAGCACATATGGCATTATCATTAACAAAGCAAACAGTGTTTGTACTTAAGCTGTGAGTATTTGGATTTATTTAACTATTGAGGACATTATCCTTAAACAATTGATGTGGATTTCCTTGTTGTTGATATGTTTGATGATGAAGGAATTCGCGTTGAGACTGACTTGCTTTCAAAGAGTATAATTTTATTTAAGCAAGAACAGAATCACTGGTCACGTCTGACCAGGAGGATCAAGAAGCCAATAATGATCTCTCTCGAACACACAGAGACAATTGCTTATATGCATCCAAACATCCGCTTTTCGTCATGGGTCATAAAACATCACGTTACACAACCACATGTGGCACTACTCCTATACAATACCTCAATTTAAACATTCCACCTAGGGGACTCCTAAATCTCCTTCAGATACTATCACAAGACGCACCCGTTGTAAACTTATATTTCCCTGTCCTAGTTACATCAGACACTTCATAGTCCCCCTAGCGAGACTATA